AACGTTATTTCTAAAATTAGATAGGATTGTACTCAGGATAACATTTTTAATGTGATTTTTATGTAGTTTTGACTGTCTTTTTTTTTTTTTTGCATGAAAAAAGGATTCTAGTAGCTTCATAAATGTCAGATCATGTCACATGGACTATTTTGACAATGTGCTTACTATCTTTCTGGGCCTTGAACGTGTCAGTTGCATTGCTGTCTATGCAGGGTTTACAAAGGTTATGGATTTCATCAAAAATATCTTAATTTGTGTTCCGAAGATGAACAAAGGTCTGGTTTGGAATGATATAAGGGTGAATAATTTAGGGCTGTCGCGATTTTTATTACCACAAAAAAATGTATTATAATTATAGGGCCCTATGAATTCCGTTTTATTTCCAAATCCATTTTCGTTTTTCTATACTCTGTTTTAATGCTTAAATTAAATGTTATTAATCAAAAAGCCTGTCTAATTAATTGAGTTTTACAGTTTTATCTTTACCAAATTCTGTTTTCCATTATTTTCTGGATTCCATTTTAATGGTTCCATTAAATTTTAATAATCAAAAGCATCTCCAATTAATTGATTATCTTACACTATAATACTGAACTTTGATTTCAGTGATTTGGACTATGAGATGGACACTTGCTTTTTGCACTCTATGTTGCACTTTACTTTTTACTTCATTAGGTTGAATGAAAATATTCTTAAGTAAAATTGTAGATTTTTTTTGTGGGAAATTAATCGTTTAGATTAATCGATAAATTAGTTGATAGATTAATCGAAATAAAAATAGTCGTTAGTGGCAGCCCTAGAATAATTAATGGCAAAATTTTCATTTTGGGGTGAACTATTCCTTTAATGCACTGCCGTAGCCCTTCATATTCATGGTTAAAAAGTGGCTGAGTTATTGTCTTGTGTTGCATAGAAAGTTATGAATGATGAGATATTTTTTATCTTCAAAACAAAAGATAAGCTTTATATGAGCTCATGGAAAGTGCTGAACTGTTCTCTGTTTCATTGGCACTTGATCCCTTTCCAAACTTGCTGACCAAAAAAGAGCTTCTGAGGTATTTTCACTCCTGATCCCTTTTTCTCTCACGATGCAGTCTTGAAGAACTAATATTAAGTCCTACTGAAGGAAACTGTCTGTTTCATTCAAAGCAAAAAGTTCATCTTTAGAGAACATTCTTTTGATGTTGAAAGTTTCATATCCAATAACTAAGTGATTGACGACAGTTCAGATGAACCCCAACACACACTGTTTCTTTAGATTTTTTCCATCCTTTCGATCAAGCTGGTTTTTGACAACTATTCCCAATACTTCCTGTCAGTGTCATCCCATCAATGTTTCCCGGTCAGGAAAACTGACGTTGGTTTCTTCTCGTTCTGGAACTGAAAATCCTGTCGTTTGGACTGCTAGCTTGATACTCTGTCTTTCTAACGCTGCTTCAAGCATGGATCAATCCCACAATCCCCTCTGCTCCAATTACTCTCAGAGCCCTCTGCTTCGTTTCACCTCAGCCAATCAGAAATAAACCAGTTTGTACACACACACACACGTTTTGCTCTCTGAAGCCTCAGTGGTTAGGAGACAAGGCTGGTCTCAGGAGTATAGTCTTACCTCTGAAGATCTTTGTGGAGGAGAGAAAGAAGGAGAGTGCAAGGAAAGGAAAACAAAGGAGAGGGGGAAGGGAGGTAAATAAAGAGTTCAGGGTAATAGAGAATAGTAAATAATTTATGAGATACACACAGCAACAAACTGTTGATGATGATTGTTTATGGAGAGAGATGTGGGTCGCTTCCTAGTAGATTTAATTGTCTCTTTGTGTGGGGGTAAATATGGGTTTATGTCAAGATAGCATCACCAGCATCACATTTAACAAGAGGTCAAAAATTTACCATGTGTGTTAATTAATTACTAAACTGATTAAAATGGAGAGTTCACCCAAACATTTGTAATTTATTCACCCCCATGTCATTCCAGTTCTATGTTTGTTTCTCTTTTCTATGTAACACAAAATTAGGTGTTAAGCAGAATGACCGAGCTGCTCTTTTTCCATTCAAAAGGAGTATGGAAGTATGGCACGCATGCCAGTTTTTTCTGCACACAGCAACATTAGCGAGCTGTGATGTCTGATTTAATGACTGAACCGGTAATTTTAAATGAGTCAGACAAAATCATAAAACAGCCTCAAACTTGCTCGAATTAGCTGTTTGAATCAGATTCACTTAGTGAACTGTTCAGAGAGTTCACAACTGACTCCTTTATGGAACCACACTGTAATTTTTTTATTTAAATTTTTTTTTTAAATGTTTTTTATTATTTGAAATTGAAAATAAAACAAAGTACGTTTTAGGGAGGAACAAATATTTCAGTCTTTAATCTTCACATTTGTTTCTTTTTAAAAATGGTTTCTAAACAAATTCAGTTCACTTCAGTCTGTTTGTTCACTAGTTGTTAATACGACAATGTGTAATTAAAGATACATATTCACAACGGATATATACCCTTCACCTTCCCCAGCTCCACCTGTATAGATCTGCTACGGTGTAATTTCATGTATGTTATACATGAGGGTTATTTCATATGTTATATGTGCAGCAGCAGTATTTCTTACATGCTCACAGCAGCAGGTTTGTGGGTGTATTGGCAGTAACAAGTCTCAGCAAATGCAGAAGCAATATAGCAGATCTATTCTATCAAGACCAAACACGTTAACATTGCCATGTATATTACCATGCTAAACTTTCTGAGAGTTGTCATGACAGAAATATAATTAAATATATAAATAATATAATTTATATGAATAATGTAGACTAAAAAGTAAGTATTATACAAAAAAAATATTGGTTGTTGAGCTCCAGTTGTAACAAATTTATACTAAATACAACTAGAAAACATCCTAGTTTATATAAATGCCTAATTCTTTTATGAAACTCTAGATGGTGCAGGCTGATGGGTTCTTAACGTAACTGATGATATTCACAGCGTTAAATGACTTTGCACAAGCTGATTGGTTCATGTTGCATACACAGCCATGTGTATGCAACATGTAAACATGCATTTACATTTAAATGGCTGGTTAGCATCCACTTAAGCATTTTGCAGTGCGCTTTCAGAGTTCCTCTGAAACCCTCCTCCTTCCCCAGCTCCACCTGTATAGATCTGCTTCGGGTTATTTGATATGCTATTTTTGCAGCAGCTGTATGTCTTAAATACTCACAGCATGTATCGCCATATGCATTGGCAGTAGCAAGTTCCTGTACTTGCTTGCAGTAGCAGCAATAATCTACAACTACAGCAGTAACCAACAGCAGCAGCAATTCAGCAGCAGCAGCGTAGCTGATCTATTCCTCCAAGACCAGATCCATTACCATGCTAAAATCTTCCAAGAGTTGTCATGATAGAACTGAAGCCGTTTTAATCTGTATTCTAATGCCTTACCTAACCTACTATACTAAACCTTCATCACAGCCAGATGCACAGCAACCCAATTTTTAGGGGGTATGCTGCAAAACAACATTGGGGTGTGTAAATAATGACAGAATTTTCATTTTTATGTGATGTATTCCTTGGAGATGAAGAGTGTTCTGTGCACGTCTCTCTCCAGCTGACATGAAGGAATGAGTAGTGGAACTGTTCCCAGATCAGATCTGCTTTGTAGCAAACACTAATTAACGTCAGTTCAGACCAACACAGGCTTCATCTTAGATGAGATCTCCCACTCTAATTACAGCTGTAAACATGTTGGATTTTCCAATGATATGCTTGCTATCTCCCATCACTGTTTATTATGGATGCGGAACATGTTGAATTGATGTGACACAAGTGGTATTGGCATCTTAAATGGCTTCATTCTTCACACATGCATGCAAGCACACATAACTTCATCTATGATCTGGTACCTTTCTGACTATTTTTCTTAGCAAGTTAACAGATATTGAAATGCATGGCAGAGATTTTGTAAACTCTATTTTAGATTATTAAGAGATAATTAACAGTTTGAAGAAGGCACTAATTATTTTGTCAGAGCACTAATCAGTTTCTGTGCGCACTAACATTAACCGACAGCTCAGTTAATGACACCTGTAGTGATCAGATCACATAAACACTTTGCTCAAACAACACATGCTGAACAGCAAGCCTGTGTTCATTCACATGCCTTAATGAGTAAGTAATGCCTTTATGCAATATGTATGTCTCATATCATACAGAATATTTTGAGGACATTTTTTCTGACCCAGTTCAGACCTTTTCAGTCTTGTTTACTGTAATTTATTTTCTTAAGTTATAAGTTTAAATTGCAATGGTCTGAAATGAAGTTTATTTCCACTGAATTAGGTGGAAAATTTGCTGTATGACCTCTATTATTGCTATATTATTGCTGCTGTCTTCACACTTTGCAGACTCAAACTATGTTGTTGAGGTTCAAACATCTATTATTCTTTGATCCTCGAAACTGCTGTGTCCTGTACACCTCTTTAAGGCTGCCTACGGAGTCTGTTGTCTCAGCATACTGTCTGTGAATAGGACCAGAACACGTGTCCTTATATTACACCTGCAATTTAGGCAGTGATAACACTTGCTTTGTGGTTGCCATAAATAAACCCATTCGGTTATCTTGTCTTGTTTTCAAGATAAACGATTATGTGTGTATTGAAAGTGTGTGTGTACACGAGAGACACTTGTGTCAACTGGCTGGTTTGTGTTCCTGTCTCAGGTCTCATCTAATGCCCAGGCTGAAGGAGTCGCGCTCTCACGAGTCTTTGCTCAGTCCCAGCAGTGCAGTAGAAGCTCTGGACCTCAGCATGGAGGAGGAGGTTCTTATTAAACCAGTGCACAGCTCAATCCTCGGGCAAGATTACTGCTTTGAGGTATAGACATCTCTTTCACTTGCTTTACATTATTTACATCAATAAGTTCATTGATCTGATCTCTCTCAACCCTAGGTACATGTTAATTTAAATTCAATATTACAGTATATCATCATTCATAAGACAGTGGTTTTAACCAGGCAAGTTTCCAGCAAAAAGCAGTTTGTCTGATTATATAGATTTCCATTTAATCATGATCTTAATTGAACAGTCCCAAAATCGATTTTTTAAAATCCCAGTTTCGATTTTGAATGAATAATTTGAATTTTAGTAGAGAACAATTTTTCAAAAAAAGAGAGAATGAATTGTGTACAAAATGGCTATTATAATTGAAATGTATAGAAATTATTTAAAATTTAATTAAAACCAGAATCAAATCAAATCAAATCAAGAGATTATGGATTAAGCCAGAATTTAATAAAAAACTGAGAATCATATCAATTCAAGAGCTTGTGGATTAAACCAGAATATAATCAAATTTAGAATCAAATCAAATTAAGGAATTTAATCAAACCCGGGAAATCAGAATTTATTCAGTTTGGGTCAATTTTGATTCTCTTTTTTATAGCTTCTTTTATAGCTTGTGATTCATGGTCAGAACATGTGTGATTGTCTATATCCAGATTTCTGAACATGTTTTTTTAAATGCTGTATTTGTACCCAAAATATCTGTCAGTAAATGTGATTCAGTTTTGCATTTTGTAACATATTTTCAAAGGACATTAAAACCTGGCACAGGTTTGCTTTTGATGTAAGTGAGCTGGAAGCCGTGAGATTGTTGCAGCAAGCTGACAATTATCAACCTTTTTTCCCAGGTGAGCACCTCCACAGGTAGTAAGTGCTTTTCCTGTCGTTCAGCCGCAGAGAGAGACAAATGGATGGAGAACCTGCGACGGGCCATCCACCCTAATAAGGTAAACTCGCCTTTCTGCAGAGTTGCTATTATTCCTGCATAGGCTAAAATCATACTTGATGCTCTGATTTATTACTGAAGAAATGCGACTCAATGCAAATAAAAAAGAGACATCAAATAATGTTTCTGCATCTGTAAGAATGATGAAATTCAGGGCCGTTTTTTCCATCGCTCTTTGATATAAGCACATGAGACGCAGGAAAGCAAAACATATGGCTGCTTTGAGATCTCATCCGACAGCTCATTTCACCAATCAATGATTAAGCAAATTAATGGTTAATTAGTTTGGAACAAAAATTCAAGCACAACCTTCAAGTTATATTTGCCTTCTTCACAGCTTGCCTGGGGATGTGTTTAATGTCTCCCCATCGCTCAGTCTTACATTTTAATTACTCAGTGGGTTTCTGAGGTGAACACCAGAGCCAGGCTTTACAGAGCTTTGCTGTGAACAGATGATGCTTTCAGACAGATGTTGATGCTGTAGTAGTGTGGAGATGATCATAGCTCAGGCATTAGCTGCTGCGGCAGAGGCCCATTTCTGTCTGCCTAATTAGTTCATTATCTGTGATGAGGGCGCACAATGGAGCACCTCAATACCGAGATGCAAAATCAATTGCCTTAGTGGGTGTTTATTTGTGTGGGAATATCCATGAGCACTAGAGCCCTACACAATACCCAGTGCCTTTAGTATAGTCATCTGCTGTTATAGAGCAATTCATCCGTCAAGCCTTAAAGGCATAGTTCACTCAAAAATGGAAGCTGTATTACTATTTATTATGTACTTATTATTCAAGAATCTTTGTACAGTTGGGGTGTAACGGTTCTAGGTAAAAAACGAACCGTACCGTTCTCCACCCACGGTTTGGCACGTACTTGCACCGCACTCTTAAATCTGACACCGCAACTTAAATCTGACAATGCATCTAAAAATATTAACACGTAAAACAGACTGAGTTCGGCTAATACACATTTCTGTTGTATTCCCAATGCATTACAACAATAGCGATGAACAAAAAAAAAAAACTTTGTTCAATGCAAGTGCCGTATGCTTGAATATGACCAGTCATTTATGCCGTCATCACCTGGGTGTTGATAGCACGTGTGCGCAGAGGAGAACTGAACAGCACGTTTCTATCTGTGTTTAAACTAAACTCATTTAAGCCTTGCCATTTTAAACATTCAGAGCATGAGAACTCATAAGATTTGTGTGTGCGCTCATTCAAAGCGCGCAAACCCCAGAACGCACAAAAAAAATTGAGTTATCTTACAAGTCTTGTGCTCGAATGGACAAATTCATACAAAAATGATGTCAAAATGTCCATCTTGGTACTGTAAGTTGAACCTAGAGGATCAGTGTAATGTATCCATGCATTGTCTTAAAGTGACAGCACTTTTTAATGTTAATCAAACAACAAAAACAAGGAAATCACTCGCTGCTCTTTATTTAATAGCTTATGTAACTTTAATAAGGATGAATATTTAATTTATACAGTCAAATACGCAATGTGATTACTTTACTTTATACATTTGATTACTTTATTCAATTTCTGTACCAAAAAACTAATGTTAGACCTAAAAACCTGAATAGCACTGTTTATTTTATCTGTATCTTTGCTCTATTTTATTAATTTGTGCTGATGTTTGTAGTTAGATTATTTGTTCTTATTTTCTTTATTTTTATTTGCCAGTATAGTTTCTTCCCTAAACATAGCACATACCGAACCGTACCGAAACCGTGACTCTAGAACTGTGATACAAACCGAATCGTGAGTCACTTTAACTGTTACACCTCTATTATACAGCCTAGGGCTGCATGATTAATGAAAATAAAACTGGTAATAATACAGATGCTTCTGCATGACATCACTAATTGTGGGTGGGGCAGTGTGGAGGGACAAGAATTGTTGTATACCGCTGGTGAGCGAGGCCTTTAGTCTGTTCAGTTCACTGATTCACGATGGTCTGTGGCCTCAGAAATAACTGACATTTAGTTTTATTCTGATCTCATCCTCCATTGCCTCCTAAGTTATAAGAAGAAGGAGGGATATCTATAAATTAACCTCTATTATAGTCCAACGAAAGCTTAACCTTAACTGCAGCATGATGCAGGTCAACTTTATGTCCGTCCCTCATATATTAAACCACATGAAAGACTATTCTATTAAAAAAAGGCCAGTGAATGACATTAACTGCTGAATGATGTCACACAGTATTTACAGCACCGTCCTGCTATCTTTATGGGAAGGACATGAAGTGATCTAAAATAAAGGGCCTTTTAATTTCAAGCCAAGGGTGGGTGATCTGAAGCAGAGGGTATTTAATCACTGAGTTGAAAAGCATCTCTAAATCACTGACCCTGTTAGATGCCACACTGATGTGGTAATAATCCACTACAGCCATGACATGTCCACTGACCTCACAATGCCCTTTCGTCCCAGTGCCTTTAGTATAGTCATCTGCTGTTATAGAGCAATTCATCCGTCAAGCCTTAAAGGCATAGTTCACTCAAAAATGGAAGCTGTATTACTATTTATTATGTACTTATTATTCAAGAATCTTTGTACAGTTGGGGTGTAACGGTTCTAGGTAAAAAACGAACCGTACCGTTCTCCACCCACGGTTTGGCACGTACTTGCACCGCACTCTTAAATCTGACACCGCAACTTAAATCTGACAATGCATCTAAAAATATTAACACGTAAAACAGACTGAGTTCGGCTAATACACATTTCTGTTGTATTCCCAATGCATTACAACAATAGCAATGAACAAAAAAAAAAAACGTGGACAAACTCTTTGTTCAATGCAAGTGCCGTATGCTTGAATATGACCAGTCATTTATGCCGTCATCACCTGGGTGTTGATAGCACGTGTGCGCAGAGGAGAACTGAACAGCACGTTTCTATCTGTGTTTAAACTAAACTCATTTAAGCCTTGCCATTTTAAACATTCAGAGCATGAGAACTCATAAGATTTGTGTGTGCGCTCATTCAAAGCGCGCAAACCCCAGAACGCACAAAAAAAATTGAGTTATCTTACAAGTCTTGTGCTCGAATGGACAAATTCATACAAAAATGATGTCAAAATGTCCATCTTGGTACTGTAAGTTGAACCTAGAGGATCAGTGTAATGTATCCATGCATTGTCTTAAAGTGACAGCACTTTTTAATGTTAATCAAACAACAAAAACAAGGAAATCACTCGCTGCTCTTTATTTAATAGCTTATGTAACTTTAATAAGGATGAATATTTAATTTATACAGTCAAATACGCAATGTGATTACTTTACTTTATACATTTGATTACTTTATTCAATTTCTGTACCAAAAAACTAATGTTAGACCTAAAAACCTGAATAGCACTGTTTATTTTATCTGTATCTTTGCTCTATTTTATTAATTTGTGCTGATGTTTGTAGTTAGATTATTTGTTCTTATTTTCTTTATTTTTATTTGCCAGTATAGTTTCTTCCCTAAACATAGCACATACCGAACCGTACCGAAACCGTGACTCTAGAACTGTGATACAAACCGAATCGTGAGTCACTTTAACTGTTACACCTCTATTATACAGCCTAGGGCTGCATGATTAATGAAAATAAAACTGGTAATAATACAGATGCTTCTGCATGACATCACTAATTGTGGGTGGGGCAGTGTGGAGGGACAAGAATTGTTGTATACCGCTGGTGAGCGAGGCCTTTAGTCTGTTCAGTTCACTGATTCACGATGGTCTGTGGCCTCAGAAATAACTGACATTTAGTTTTATTCTGATCTCATCCTCCATTGCCTCCTAAGTTATAAGAGGAAGGAGGGATATCTATAAATTAACCTCTATTATAGTCCAACGAAAGCTTAACCTTAACTGCAGCATGATGCAGGTCAACTTTATGTCCGTCCCTCATATATTAAACCACATGAAAGACTATTCTATTAAAAAAAGGCCAGTGAATGACATTAACTGCTGAATGATGTCACACAGTATTTACAGCACCGTCCTGCTATCTTTATGGGAAGGACATGAAGTGATCTAAAATAAAGGGCCTTTTAATTTCAAGCCAAGGGTGGGTGATCTGAAGCAGAGGGTATTTAATCACGTCATCTCTAAATCACTGACCCTGTTAGATGCCACACTGATGCGCTAATAATCCATTACAGCCGTGACATGGCAGCCTAACAGTCCACTCACCTCACAATGCCCTTCCGTCTCTAGGACAACAGTCGGCGGGTGGAGA